TTGTATCCGCAATGACAAATCAAGAAAGAAGCTTGGCTGCTAGGCACAGTTAAACCCTATAAAATTAAAACTGAGCACCGAAGTTAATTCTTAGCCAACTAGCCCTGTATCTCTTTATGTTACAGCAGTGCAAGCAGTCCAGCTGTTGCTAAAGCTGTTGTGATCCAAGCAGAAAAGAGTGAGAAAGACGCTTGAGTTGATTTATACCAGATGTTTTACAGCATTCTAAGAGCTAATCATTTAAAATAATGGTAAAGTGGAAACAAATTTGTAAATAAACACATAAAACACAGGACATGTTTAGAAGTGTGAAAATAAATGTTGCATTTGACTTGACTATAAATAATTAACTACAGGTCACAATAAATGAGTGATCATTAAAGGACAGAAAATATTGGAACTGCCTTTTGTCAATTAAAAAAATGTGTAAACATTCAAATAAGTCACTCAACCCTCTGTGAATAGTAAACAGCCATCAGTGTGCTAATGATCCATTGTTAGGCTGATGGTCCTTCTTGATCATGTGAGCAGCTGGTTTTGGTTGTCAGCAGCAAACTGGTTGATCCACCCTGAGAAGGTGCTATTTATAAGACGGAGCTGAATACAGCACCTCAGACTGAGGAAGTCTCTCGGATGAGAGACGAAACGTTTCCACATTTTTTTGTTGTTGTTGTTTTGCTTTTTGTTTTTTGAATGTCCAGAGGACCAGACTTAACTTTTTTTTTAGATATTTCTATCTGGATTATTGAGCATGCATCAAGATATTCAAATAAGTTGTTCTTAAATGAACTTGTCGACAAAATTTTGGATTTTTACAACAGAATTTATTTTACAAAAACGCAAATATAAATACAATGAGCTAGCATGAGTGGCAGCTAACCAAAATTAGCTAACATTATTTGCTCCGTTTTCAAACACTTTTGAGCTACAAACTTTTTGTCTCACTTTTGATAGTTTGCAGTATAATTCTGCCTGATTTTTTTTTTAGGGTTCTAAACGAACACATTTTGCAAAACAATATTTTCTGCTGTTTGCGC